TGATCTGCCAAGTGGTTCCTTGAAATGTGTTGTCATCTTTCTTCCTGAAAATGGGAGCAAAATGTAAAAGTCGACAATGCATTGTTAGACATTGCAACACGTTAATGATACTTTTTGAAGAAGAATCCATTTTTGGTACCTGGTAACTTGAGCAAAGAACCAATCTTTGGTGTAGTCACTGATACCAATTGTGTAGATCAGGTCTTTGTCAGGGTAGAGTTCTGCATATCTCTCCCATAATCCATATTGTCTAAACCTGCCGATTAAGATCCACTGTAAGAGTTATACATAAATAGTCTTCATTAATTTTCAAAACAGTCAAATGCAGGAGCACAAAGGTGACTTACTTGTCAGGATGATTAACAAAAAGTTTGTTGATATATTTGGGATTTGGGTCAGGAACATAGAACTCAGCAGCTGTTCGATCAGGAATGCCAATTTCCCACAATGTTGGACCATCTCTAGGGGGTTCATACACAAGCTCACCAAGGTCGATTTCACAGCCTATTTTCACGTAAACCAAATAGAAAAACTCAGTAGTTTAAAAAGAAAAACAAAAAAATTTCTTGCTTTATACCTTCTGTTATGGTCATAGCTACGTCATATTTATAGTCACCAATAAAACCAGGCACCCAGGCGTAAACATTGTAATCTCCTGCACGTACATTGGTGATGGAAAAGTAGCCATCATCGTCTGCTTTAGCCCAAAACTGATAATTCTGATGACAATTAAAATGTAATGCATCTGTTAGCTAATGGTCTTTCTATAGGCTTAAAAGTTAATAAGAGACAAACTTAAATAAGCATACTAATAAGAACATGCACACTCATTTGGTGAACATATTTTTCCTCCTTTTCAAGTCACCTTGCATTCTCTTTGCCATGATCCCACATCGCCTGGAGGAGCCAAGCCAACATAGGCACCTTTTGCTGAGATATAGTCATCATTTATACACCTATATATAGCAAAATGGAGTTAAACACCTGAACACAAGTTATTACATGTGCTTTCAATGGCCTGCAACACAAGAAAATCTGATTGCTTTCTGCACTTTCATTGTATCAATGTTGTGATTCTCTTCATACTCGATTTTCAATTATATTAGAATGGTTACAAAATTACCAGAATCTCAAATAAAATTTATCAGAACACACCTCTCTCTGACCAAAAGCCTGCCACTAACATTACCACGTTCGTCCCACTTCGCAAAATCATCTGAATCAGGGAAACTGTAGGGCCAGCTTTGAACTTCCAGCAACATCTGTAAGTTTGCATAGGCATGTGGTGGTGTCACTAAGTTAACTATACCAAAAAATCTAGCTATATATAGTTTAATATTAGATACAGAAAGCAAATATTAAACCTGTAGTTTAGCATCGTCCCATAGCTTAAGGGGGTCAACTCCATCATAGGAAGAATTCAAATAAATGAAAACAGGACCAAAAACTTTCTTCCATGCCTCACCAGCATTAAACTTAGGCACCAAATCCTCTCCAGAGTAATGTGCACTCAGAAACACCTGATTACGTTATTTTTTAGCAAAGATAATGTTTTTTGACACAAGAAACTGTCACACGGAATTATGAAACATTGCAGAATATGTTATCTTGTTGGGAGCACTTACGGCAAGCGTGGTGGGGCCAACATGAGAAGTTAAGTTTTGTTTGAGGGGCCCACCAGATCGAAACTCATCCGTTGGCGTAATAAGCCAGAATCCCACTGCAGGATCCATGCAGATCCATCCATGAACTTTGTTGTCTTTGTTGTCGCATGAATATTGGTACTTGTCATCCACCTATACACACATAAGTTCCACCAACCATTTTTACTTTACCTAATGTCATTTTCAACTTCTATTTTAGTAGTTTGACATGAACACCATTAATAAATTATACAACCACATAATATATAATACCATTTCACTTTTCATTTGATGATGCTCATAAAAAACGAGTGCATTATTTGAAAATGGTGGATCAGTATATATCCCAACCTAAATTTGGTTACCTCTCCCTTAAGTTCTGGTTCGATGGGATTGACAAGTAGAACTGCTTCTGGGTAGGCAAGGGCTTTGCCCTTAGGTGGTAATCTGTCATCTGGAAGAGGCATGTTTCTTTGTCTATTGTCAGCCATTGCCATATAATGGAACCTGCACACCATCCATATATATTCTTTGAGATTAAGGAACAACAGTAATATTATAACTGGAAGCAGTAATAAAAATGTTGAGCTTTTACTTGTCTTTTCTAAGCTTGAAAGCGATTCTTGTTTCGTCAAGATTGAAAGCAGGCCACTCCTGTAAGTGCTCATAAATTGCATAGGAGTAGAAGCCCGAACAACCACGAAGCATTATGAACCTAGAATCACACATTACTTCATTAATTAACTTTAGATTATGTATTAACCATGGACAATGTTGTTGGTGTCACTGATTATTAACTAATTACCTTTTGTCAATGTTTAAAGGAACCAGCTTGCCCTCGAGAGAGACGTCCCACGTCCTGGTGAAGGATACCTCAACTTGGTCCTCATTTTCAACCATAACTTGGAACTTTGTTCCTTTGATGCTGCAGTCACGTATGACAATGTGTGACTTTAACTTCTTGAACAAACACGGTTACAGTGGAAAGAAGAAATGAAGGAAACGTTAAGCTATAATTTGTCGTACGAGTAAAACAAAGAAAGACATACACATCAAATGTACCACTGGTTCCTGTGCTTGTCGGCGAGCTCCAGACAAGGTCCCAGTAGCTACATGAGGTTGAAAACATATTACTGTATTACTAGGAACACCAAATGAAGTTCCTTAATCTGTAAAATTGAACACAACTTTCTAAACAATACATATATACCCTCTGTTAGATTCGTCATTCAAAACTTCAAGCAAGTTGTCGATGTTATTGTACTGTATTCCAGTCACAATTCCCCCAGGATTTGATAAAGTGACTTTTAGTATGCCATTTTCCATCACCACCTGCACATGAATTTTCGTTACTTCTAAGACTGCTCCGAAAATTTATAAGGAAAGACAAAAGGGCAAAGTTTTAAATACATGATTATCTTGAACAGTAAGTTGCACCCCCAATAACGGCATGGTGTGGTATTTGCAGTGAACAAGTGAGCAATGAAAATCTGACAGATTGAGAGTGGTTTAAGAGAATGGCTGAGAATATTTATGTCATAATGCAAAGAAAGAGTGGCCTTTGTATATATATATATATATATGGTAGAATGGCTGGTTTTATGCAGAGTTTGGAGAAAAACAGTGTGTGCTTATGTTGTACTACTCAGCAATGTGCCAACAGAAAAATGGAGAGTGTGTGAGGGCTGAAATGAATTGGAATAGATAGCTTCCTTGACCTACAGAGAAAGCATTCTTTTGAATCTCTTTACTTGGTCGCCACAGTTTGGTGTATACGGTTTTTAGATAATGGCGTACGAGTGAAGAAACAGTCAATTACAACCATATAGAAGGATAAAAAAATATAGTGTTCTATCAATTTCTTGTTTTGGTTTCCTTCATTTTTTATTAGGTGATTGAATGTTGTTTTGAACAGCATTCTCCCTTTACCACGCACTTTTGTTCAGGTTTTAAATAATTAAATAATATATATACAAAACACCAGTTGTGTGGTTAGTTTTTGTCAAAGCTGAAAAACTCAAGAAATTTTACATCGGTTTAAATTTTATTTTATATTGTGGCCGAAAGTTTATTTATAACAAGTATTCTTTTTGGTAATATCAAACAATATTCAATTGTCTTTTTTTTATTATTCAAATACAAGCTAAATAATGATAGAATATGGTTTATGTGTCTCAAGATTTGTAAATTTAAAAAGATGGTTTTGATTCTGCCGTTTTCTTTAATTTAATGAATGTAGTCATCACGTGAAATCCATTAAATGAGGTCTAAAACATTGTGTTTAAGACGTAGGAAGAAAATGCTGTATAAAAATTTTGGAAACAAAAACTAGTTTTGACTATTAATCTTGGAGATCTAAAATAATATTTAACCGAATGCTTAATTGTAAGTTATTTTAGGTACACTTTTAAACAAACATTTAAAAGATAAACCAATAATGAATTGTGAAAGTAAACAAACTTTACACACATTAAAATCAACTTAAAAACTAAAAAGTGATTTGTTTTTTTGAAAAATTTGCTGTATAAATTGATTTTAATTAATGAAATAAATTTGAATTGTTTTACTTATTCCTTTTATTTGTGTTTTTAAAAATGAAAGAAATTTGATACACCTACTTGGTCTTTAAACATCAGGTAAATGTGGATATATATACTAATATCCGTCCACCACCGTTTAAAAAATATTTTTCTTTGCTAAATTTCTTTCATTAAATATTAAATAATAAAATCAAATATTTTAAATTGTGTCACTAATTTTCTGAGATGTAATTCTTTACCATTTAGGACATTCATTACAATGGATCTTCCATTTAAGATTTTAATAGGTTGGACTGATTAAGAAATTACATCAGCCTCTATAACCACCACTCCTAAAACTAAATTGATAAAGTTAGTATTTCTTTTTAAGCTTAATTAAATTAAATTTAAACCGAGTATCTTCAATTCAACTGAATTCTAGAAAAAATTATTGAATTCTTAATATTTTTTAATTTTATCTAAGTATATTTTTGTTTGATTTTATTATCAATTGAAATGACATTTTTTTTTATTTGATAAAGTTGAAAAAGATTGTCGATGAATTTGATAAAGGTTGATAAATTCATCGGTTAGTTGAAGACAACAAAAATAAACTAATAGATATTTAAATAAAATAAAAAAATATCTTGAACAGCCATTACAACAAAATATTTCAACTGAGATTAAATTAAAAATATTTAAATTTATAAAACACTTAAAATTTAATTGAGATTTTTATACAAATCAATCAAATTATTTTATTGAAAACATAAGAGTCGATATAATGAGTAGAAGAAATAAAAATCTGAGGACTATCATTGGAATTAGATGCCCTTGCTAATTTTAGTAACTAATTATTCATTCTTTCTCATACAACTAACTCTATATAGCTTACAGTGGCTATTTATCCTTGGCAATCTACCCGTGCACTTGAAAGGCGGATGATTTAGTCAAACAAAAAAATCATGTGTGCTTTCAGAATGCTCGTGAATATCAAACAAAATCCAAACAAATACACAACGACAACAGAAGATTACAGAAAAAAGAAAAAAAGAAAAGACGCATACAATGTTTACAACTATATAGTAAACATTTTGTATCATTTACGTCCCAAGGTTAACTTAAATTCCTTCAGAAGGTGGGCCTTCCAAACGAATATAATCATACATGATACCTTGGAAGGGACTGGTGCATCTTGGTTGCGTAAAATATATGGTATTTGTGCCATCAATAAGAAGAGAACCTGGTATATTCACATTGTAAAGCCAATAGATTCCATGAATTCCAAGTCTTGCAATTGAGTTGTCCCTTCCTATTAATCCACTGGTAAATAGGGGTCGCGCAGAATTGGGATCATTTACTCTAATCTTCACCACAAGGCATAATGTCAGCACCACATTCTACAAAGTACTTATTACAACCAGTGACGATGTGTATGTGAGAAAAAAAGCAAGGGAGGTTTACCTGCAATTCAGCTAATGTTGCAGATGCAATTGCAACTCTCAGTTTGTATGTACTTCCCTTAACCACGCTTCTGACTTCGAACTTGATTTGCCAGGTGGTCCCTTGAAGAGTGTTATCCTCTTTTTTCCTGCAGTTTCACATGCTTGAAAATTTAGTAACATACCCATCTTATAAAAATGATCAATAATCCATAAATCAGACCTCGGAGCCTGCGCATAAAACCACTCCTTCGTATAGTCACTAACACCAACTGTGTAAACCAAATCTGCATCAGGATACAGTTCTGTATACCTTTCCCACAATCCATACTGCCTGAACCTACAAGTTGAGCAAAGAAAAGGAAAATCTAAGAACAGACAAACTGACATCTCAATGAAATATTTTCATTACGCGTACAAGGACAAAATGCACCGTTGGGTAACGATTTTAGCGTTTTCACTATTTCGTGCCATGATATAGCATAGTTTCACAATTAAGCAAGATCCGCTTAAGCATTATATGGAAAAAGAAAAAGAAAAACTGATCAACCAGCTAAGAATGATCAGAGTAATATGCTCCTAATAACACAGAATAGAGCTAACCTGTCTGGGTGGTTGATAAAAAGCCTATTAATGTATTGGGGATTCGGATCAGGAGCATAAAATTCCGCAGCTGATCTATCAGGAATACCTATTTCCCACAATGTGGGACCATCTCTTGGAGGCTCATATACAAGTTCACCCAATTCAGTGTAGGAACCTGCATCGCAAATTTATTAAGCACATAACTCAACTTTATTTTGCAAGATGGCAAACAAACTTAACTTTGACGAAGCTTAGGAACCTGGCGTTATCTTCATAGAATCTACAAATTTGTAGTCCCCAACAAAGCCAGGCACCCAAGCAAAAAGGTTATAGTCGCCTGGACGTACATTTCTAATGGTAAAAAATCCATTCTCATCCGCTCTGGTCCAGAATTGATAGTCCTGTTAGGTGTAAAAGTTAAGTAATCTTCTGGTAAGGAGTTATTTTGGGCATAATAGCATTCTTGTAATTATATTGATTTTCATAATTTGTGCTTTTCAAAATAAAAGGAAAACAAGATTATGTCTCACGCAGTCAGCAAGATCCCTTTGATCACAATTACAGATCCATCCACGCACCAAAGGTGACAAAAATTACAAAAAGAAATTATTTGAGGTACAAACTACAAACTGCTCATGCAACTAATATGCTAGTTATCCACAACTGTGAGAAGAGCACCTTGCATTCTCTTTGCCATGACCCTGCATCTCCAGGTGGGGCCAGGCCAACATAAGCACCATTTGCTGATATTAAGTCTGTGCAGATGTACCTACAATTTGAATAGTTTCATAAAATTTGCCAATGCAAGAATAGAGTAGGAAACTTTGCTTGTACTCCAAACACTGTAAGACGCAAATCGCAAAATGCAACATATAACCCTCAAGAATAAACTAGGAATTTCTTGCATGCTTACTTGTCTAAGACAAGTAATCTGCCACTGACGTTGCCCCGCTGATCCGATTTTAAAAAATCCTCTGAAGCTGGGAAATGATATGGCCAACTTTGAACTTCATTCATCATCTGATTATCAATTCGAATTAGCCTTTATGTGAAAATTACTAGATCCAACTGTCTATACTAAATTCCTCTTAACAAAAGCACATGAGAAGCATGGGCAAACCTGTATTTTTGCATCCTCCCATAACCAAAGTGGGTCGTCACCAACTGGTGCAGAATTGAGATAAATATATACAGGACCGAAAACCTTCTTCCATGATTCACCACCTCTAATTTTAGGCACCAAATCTTGTCCCGCATAGTGACCACTAAGAAACATCTGATGATGCCAATTTAATAAACATGTCAACAAGATAACATATTATGATAGCCTTGTAGGAAATTCTTATTTTGGTCTAAAATTTAAATTCATTCACTTACTGCAAGTGTGGTGGGGCCTACGTGTGAGGTCAAATTCTGTTTGAGGGGTCCACCAGAACGAAACTCATCACTAGGTGTGATCTGCCAGAAGCCTACTGGTGGACTAAAAGATATCCACCCATGAACTCGATTATCCTTGTTTGCACATGAATACTGATACTTGTCATCCACCTGTGGATTAGATTGAATTCAAATAAAAACCCTGTGAAAGAGTTCATACAAAATGCATGCATAGGAAATCACATTGACAGTGTAAACCACATGTTGGCGAAGTAACACTTGCCAAACCACATGAGGGAAATTAAGTTTAACCATAATGTAAAATAATATTTAATTACGCAAGTAGGGATCATATATTGTAAACTTTTGTACCATATGAGCGGGAACTAACCTTGAAGCCATCTGAAGAAGCAAAGACTACTACGGTAAAATACAACTGGAAGCTTTGAAAAAAATAAAAATAATTTCAGGAAACATTTGCAACAGATACCTCTCCTTGCAAATGTGGGTCTTTGGGATTGGTTAGTAGGACAGCTTCTGCGTAGCCCAAGGTTTTGCATCTTCCAGGTAACCGATCTTCTGGATAAGGAAGAATCCTTCGCCTGTTGTCTGCCATAGCCATGTATTGAAACCTACATACTTCATTGTTAAAGAGGATGAAAATCCTAAAAAGAATTAACCGTTCCTATTTATCTATCAAGCTAATCTCAACTGATATGGCTATATTTGTGAAAGAAACTGACATTTGGGATATAACAAAATTATATGCAAGTCCTATCAAATTATTTAGTAATTATCATTTTCACCCAAAAGGGTTCAACAAATTTCGTGTTAAATATGCAAATACAATTAACAAGTACAAAAGAATGACAAAAGTAATCAAACTTTTTTGTCAAAATGATAGAATTTACTTGTCTTTTCTTAGCTTGAAAGTAATCCTCGTTTCACCGAGATCAAAATCTGGCCATCCATTTAAGTGCTCATAAATTCCGTAAGAGTAGAAGCCAGATGAACCGCGGAGCATTATAAATCTGAAATTGACAATCCACAAATATTAATCCTATAGCTATCAGTAAAAGAAGCCAACTGATACGAAAAATTAGAGCCAAGGACCTTTTGTCAATATTTAAGGGGACAAATTTTCCCTCTAGAGAAGGATCCCACATTCTTGTGAAAGAAAGCTCCACCTGTTCCTCATTTTGAACTATAACTTTAAAACAAGTTCCTTGAATCCTGAACCATAACAGCTTGAGTTTGCATGTGCTTAAAATATTATCCTTCGAACAATAGTGGAAATGGTAAGATTGCAAGTAGACCATGTAACCAAAATAGAGGGTTCGACAACTGTTTTACTTATGCTTGTGTGACATAAAAAACCTCTCCTAGTTTAATTGCAAATTCGTTGACAACCAGTTTATTTCTGATCAAGTGTGACTCAACCACTCCTAATATAATATCAAACTCAAATCAGGGAATGCATTTGAATAAATCTTTATTGAGAAATTGAATTGTTGGAATAATATTAAAGACACCATGAATTTACAAAAGAAAGTAGTATTGTCATACACATCAAAGATCCCTTTGCTTCCTGGCGCACTCCAAACAAGGTCCCAGTACCTAAACATTCAATTGAAAGACAGAATCAGCTCACGGCTTCAAAATATAAGAGCTTCCTAAGATTTCTCCACAATGAGTAAGAAGAATATTTTTGTCTTTCTTAATAATAAGGTGTAAAACATACGGTTCTCCCCAAGACAAATCTGTCAACCGAAGTGTGTGTGGATGTGAGGAAGAGAAAGATAAGAATTATTCATCGCTAGGGGCGCATACCCTCTATTAGACTCCTTGTTTAGAACTTCAAGCAAATTGTCAACACCATTATATAGTATCCCGGTGACAATCCCACCTGGATTTGATAGCGTAACCTGGACTATGCCATTATCCATCACCACCTGCACATGCCAAGACATTAAACAATAACAAGAAACTAAAACTTAACTGAGAGTGTGGCTATAAGTAACGCTGTCAAAGTTTCACTAATGCACATCCTACATTCAAACTTAAGCTACAAGAAAAGAGAAACATACAGTAATTTAACTTAGATGCTGAAGTCTAGGCACGTTGCACAAACTCAAACATAAAAAGTCTTTTCACGGCTTTGTGGTAGAAGCACAACTAAGAGAAATAGGCAGAAAAAAAGGCATATGCGTCAAACTTACATGGTGATCTTGGATGTGCAACCGTACCCCTGGGCCGGACATGGTGAACCCTTGTTTTTGTTTTAGCTAGCTTGCAGATAACAGAGGAATCTAGTTAAGAATTCCATCAACAAAGTTTAAAAGAAATGGAATGACTTAGGGAAACAGAACCTGATCGTATCAATTTCAAATTTTCAATTACTTTACATTTCTATGAAATGTAAAAATAGTTGCAACCAGTTATAATGCTTGAACTTCTAATTATGTCTACATATTTCCGATACCTTAGTTTCCTGTGTCAACAAAAAAGTAAACATCTTAATTACAAACATGACAAATTGATTAAAATGAAATAATCGTTTAGCTTCTTCAGAAGCGATCAAATAGGGTGATTCACAACCAAATATACACAGTGAGGGAAATTTCAAGAATATATTTAAAATAAAAATATATATCGAGAAATCATATATTTCATGAATTGCAATCGACGAGGATGAATGGTGGGGTAACCGGGGAGACGTATTATATCGGTGGACGACGATGGAATACGACGGATCAAGAGACACGGATCGCATACCTCCAGAGTGTGAAAATCGTCTTATCATGAACAACAACTGTATCGAAAGTGCATAATGGGAAACAGAGTTTTGGTTTTAGAACAGAACACTATACATTGTAATTGCAGCAATTGGGTTGATCCAAGTGTCACCAAATAATACGTGTATGTTTTGAACTATTTTAATATTTTTACAAATTATACGAAATATAGTAAATTGGTTATAAATTTTATTTATATCATGTTTTATTAATCTACGTTATAATCTTCAAGATAATTTGTGATTGGAAAAATATTATATAAATAGTATAAACCAACTTAAAATGCTCACAAAAACGAGAGAAGGGAAGGGAAACGTAAACAAATATTTATGAATCAAATAAAAAAGAATTTCAATATTTTATTTGAAAACCTCTAACTCATGAAAAGGACTAATAGAATTCAATAGTTGGTAGGGAATTGATTTTCTTAAGCATATTGACAAGAATTTGATTCTCTAATTATACATTACATTAATTTTTGAAAATAAAATTTATTTTAATGATCTCTACATACTGGGAGGACATTAGTCAAATTTACAGAAAAAAAAAAGATGAAAAATAGTAAGCACGTGCGGATACAGGATGGAACATTCCAAATACATAGACAGTGTCATTCAAGTAATTAGTTTGTCTTCATCGTTCCTTGCTTTTATAACCAGATATACTGGTATCCTTCAAGAGGAAGATCAATAAGATCACTGTTTTGAATAGTCCATCGGAATCCTTGTATCATCTAAGGTTGGATTTACTCACCCAAATTATTCTTATTAAAAGATAAGTGATTTTAATCTAAAAATTAAATATTATATAAAGATAAGAACTTAAAAATTTACTTTTTAATTAAAAATAGTCTCAATTCTTTATATAATAAGTTCAGATTTTATTAGTATTTTATTATTAATATTGTATTTTCGAAAGATCCTCTCTCCATCGCATAGTGCACTTAGGTATCATCAGCCAAACATCAGGTGTAACGATTAGGTATGGATTTGTCTATTTATCTGAACTTAAATTCATCTACCACTTTACGAGATGCTTTTTCCTTAAATAGACACAGGAAAATTTTGAATTGAGTAATCCCTGTTAAAAAAGAGTAATATCAGGGGTTCTCTTTATCAGGACAAAAAAAAGCATTTCAAAATCTGCAAAATACTCACCTTCATCTGTATACGTTATTATATATCAAAATTTGCTTAATATTAGCTAAAATTTATTAAAAGTAACTTGAGTGGTCACACAGAATCACAAATCCCAAATGTCTCACAAAACCCAACAAAAAATCCACAAATTTTATCCAGAAACGATATTGCAGTTCTCAGATAACAGACGAATAACAAACAAATAGCAACATTGGTAACGAATGACTCATTTATCTCTTGCTACTTGGCAGTTTTCACTATCAAATAGAGTACCACAATAATAATTCAATGACAATGACAATCTGTTTTATCAGCAGGTGAAGGATATCCCATAATTATCTCATTCGACCTTCTGTTATATGCAAATAAATTATACAGATCAAGCAAATTTACAGTAACACGTATTCTCTCCCCTGTTATTGCAAATTGCTGAGATCTGTCTTTCTCTGGAAAAAAATAGACCCGAGAATAACAGCAATACCGGTGATTGCTATTGTGAAAAAAACACGCTTTCTTGGGAAATCATTCTGCGGCCTTCTTCGAGGACCTTCGTCTCTTTCAACTGGTCTCACGTACCTTCACAAGAAAATTAAAAGTAAATATTCAATCACGAAAAATAACAAATGCATATAATGACCAACAGGGTTAATGACACACCTACCCTAATAAGTTAAGACATTTTTTGTAAATAAAAATATATACATATAAATTGATTAAAGTATCGTTGAAGTGCTATGAAGAAACTCTTGACATCAGTTTGGTCTTCCAAGATAAAATGAACCAGTCCTCTTAAGATTTTATGTAAACATCAGAATAATTCCAAGTTGATGTCATATGTATTTATGGCATCTCTTAAAACCGTTTTATGAAGCAAGTCACAGAAAAAGAGCTTCAACAAAAGACAATTGGAAGGAACTTCTTTTAAGGGGAATAAAAACAAACAAAGCCAAACAATACCTTAAACAATTAAATAACTTTAGAGAAACAGGAGATATCGCTCAAGATTCATTGATCAAAATTTCATGGAACTTGCCGGTGGTTAACAGTATGTAAATTGTTATTTTACCATCTACACCTAATATACGATCTGCCAACGATTCTCATACCACCTACATTCTAATAATTGTTATATATTTTTTAAATGACAGTTCTTTGCCACTCTCCTGCAGAATGTACAATTCAGCACTAAAGAAATTATAAAAATATATGAAGCAACCATAAATATTCATGCTACTTATAGGGAAATCACACCGTTTACAGCTAACAGGCACCAAGCATCTTAGAAAGAGAGCACAAAAATGCATTCAAGACTAGCACAGGATGAGAAAAAATTCTAAGAAACAAATCCATCCCAAGATCTCGTGACATCTATAAGTTGCATCAAGAAATAATCTTTGGCAAATGCATTTTGCTTTTTATATAAGGTTGATTTGAAGGGTTTGGAAGGGAGAGTGGGAGAGGTTGTGAGTTCAACTCCCCCAACTAACAACTAACATTTGCTAAAAAAATATAATTGCTTTTAATATTTTGTGGAAAATAAACACATTTTTTTTCCTCCCAAAACTCTGAAGGAGCTATTGATTGAAGCTGTTTCAACAACAAAATAATCTAATTGAAATTCATACTGCAATCAAATGATAGCATTTCCTACCTTGAAGGCCTTGAAGAATTCTCTTGAATTCTGTTGCAACTATCTTCATGGTTGTATCTTTCACGCAGTCTAACATACTTGTTACAAAGGTGACAAAGTTCTGTTCGATTCCCGCATACTTCCTGGATGTTTAAAAATCAAACTGAAATTAGTACCAGAGTACATTGATTGATGTAAACTTCTCAAATACAAAAAGTCCTTTACAAACACTACCTGATGCTCAACCAGATCAATGGCTGGCAAGGGAAACTCACAGAACTCACAGGTGACCATCCTTCTAGGACAATTTTCATCTCTATGAATATCTAAAATATCACGTTCCATAGTTTCACTGCACAGCGAACAGGCAACCTGCACAAATTACCATTTTCTTTTGAATAACCATAGCAAAAGTGAATTTTAAATCGGATTTCATGAACTGTGTTATTAATATACTAAGAAGCAGCCTTTGGGAGAAGGGGAAGGGAGGGCCACAGCAAAGAACCGATGGGCATGTAGCCAGCTAGCCTCCTTTAGCCTATGGAGTTGACACTCCAAGTTTCCACACTCTATGACATGACAGGCACATCCATATCACATACTGGACATAGTAAAACTAGGACTGGTTCAAAAAAAATTGCACCTGTTACTGCTTCCCCTTTCCATTCGTGATTGCTAAAATATTAAATCCAACTGAGTATATCAAATTGAAAGAGCTGCTTAACTAAGTAATATCTATATCAAAGTACGAAAAATCCTTTAAGAAAGTAAACCCTCACCATCCAATATGTATTCCCTCTTAAGAACCATTATCTTCTTTTTTTTATGAAAGCACCATTAATATAGAACCAACACTCCATCGATAAGTCCCAAATATAAGAACTAAAGCAACAACTATCAAAAGCCATGCTAAGAAAGATATCAATCAAACCAACTCCAACCAATCCATAAAATTTGATGTATATCCAATCCATCTATTATTTTGTTTTCTAATTTTAATATATCTATGGGATTATAACTCTGCCGTTCTCCTGTTTAACAATTCAGGATACACAAAATTACTATTTGTAACTTAAAAATTACAGAGACGGTTGAGTAATCATTTTTCTTCAAATTTAAATTGACTTGTGTTTCTATTAGGTTTTTTCAAATTTATATTTAGTCAATGTTGTCATTTTCAGTTGGAAAGCATGGGAGAAATTTGAGGGAAAAAGAAAATGGAAACTATTTTCTCAAAGCTACAATATGTAAATTATACTTTTATTAATATGTAAATTTGAAAACCAGAAATCCTAAAGTAGTTATTTAATTAAATTATAAATAATTTTTTGTTATACTGATTTGAACATTTTTTTTATAACACAGGTTTCAAAAACAAAGCTGACGGAATATATAAATGAACTAAATATAACGAAAACAAGACGCAAGTGATAAAATTCAATCATGAGGACCCATTATAAGGTAATTTTTAGAGATAGATAAGGGGTAACAAGAGCAAGAAGATTGACAGTGTTGATTGAGTTTCAGTTTTCAGAGCTCGCAGATTCAATTAGTCCAAAATATCTGCAGCCATATGACTACAGCTAGCAAGAGGCACCGAGTGACTCATGGGACAATCTCAAGATTCAGTTACGCAATTCTCTCACTGACTCAACCGGCGTCTAATATATCCTAGTCAGACCAATTACCACTATTGATCCAAAAGATCTAAACAATCCCACTCATAATATCTATTGTCATAACTTGATGAGTTTGATTGAATGATATCATTTTCCACCACTAAAATTTCAAACCAATTGTCACTGAAACGTCAATTTAGACCCTAAAAAATACTAAAATTAAACTCATAATATTTTATATTTATTCTCTAATTTTCTTTATCATCAAGTACAGAACTTCTCAAGTAGTCTGTTTATCAAACAAAACAAGACAAAAGTTTCCATACCGGGGCATGTGTGTTCAAATAGTGCTCCTCGGCAAGCGTTTTCGGAACCATATCGCAACAAATTTTGCATCTTTCAAGGTTCCGAGAGCAATGAGCATAATGCAAATCAATATTTGCAGAAGGGATAGCCCGATCACTAAAAAAAGAAAGAAAAACGTGACGAGAAAGAATCATGATCAAAGCTCCTGACGATAAATCATAAACACGTGATTTAGGAATTCAATATGTACAAAGTATCACCCTAAATGGAAAAAAGAAAAAAAAAATCACAGCATCCTGGCTTTCATCGCCTTGAAGCAGTTCTGAGTCAAATGCGATACCAGTAACAACGAGTAAAATTCCTTTTACCCACGAAACAAATAAGGCCGATTATCCACAATTTTAAGCTTAG